AAATCAATTTTGGACGAGTTTCTGCTAGCACTTGCAAACTAACCCGCTGCGGCATGTGTACTACATATAGTCCATCGCGCTATTCACCACACCATCCATCGCACTGCGAATGGTAAGACGGGGAGAGATACTGGAGAAACTTCAAAACTTCTTCTCTCCATACCAGGTAAGGCCTAAATAGAGAGCACCTCATAAACTATACATGCTCAACACAACAGCTAGAACCGAGCTGAACAAGATGGTTAAAATCGCACACTCTGGCAATTTGTTTTTACTCTTCTTTGGCATCCCCAAAAGCGCTCAGCAAAAACGAACCTTATCGGTGGGGTCCATGCATGGTCTCCTTAATCGTGCAACAAACCGTTTCCGAAAAGCTCACAATGTCATGAAGGACCTTCCTAGTAAGACATACTTGTAGTCCATCGAATCATTGCAATAAGGAATTTTGTCAAATACATCTCCTGACCCCTTCGATTTCTGTCAAGCAAAAATCCTACCAAGCCGACTCTACCCTACTTAAATACGACCTCACCCCTTAGGGACACTCCAAAGATGATGTTCTGCGAGATGGAGAGTACCACCCACAAAAAGCTGGGCGCTTCCAGAGTTGTTGAGACTCAAGGTAGAAAATATCTGCTCTGAAAGGTCAGAGATGATCGTCGGCGCTCCAGGCCTAGCCTTTGTTGGGGGAAGGGACAGAAGCGCGCCCAAGTTAGAGCACATCATCATTAAATTATTGCTAAACACGACCCTCACCCCCAATTTTCTCTTTCGGCACGATCCCCCACCCCACACACACAATCTACTCACCATCTTGCCAAATTTCCCCGGGATTTCAAAATTTTGCCGTCGAGCAGGGGGTGAAGCAGTGAAAGGGGAAAATCAGCAATGGGAAAATTTATTCTCGAGGCCAAATGACCACATAGCGGTCAAATACGACCCCGTTGTGTGTTCCGTAACGATGATGTACCCTGGGTCAAATGCCCCCTTATCCCACCAATAAATGAAAAGATCGAATTCAGGTCTGAAGGAACTGGGGATCACATTTTGAATCTGCCAAGCTCATCAAATCCCACTGGCCCTAACATTGTAGGAGCGGGGGGGGGGCATTCAAAGGACTTGTGCAAAACAAGTACAGTAATGGAATACAGGGACTACCGTAATGGAGATGAGGACTTTCGTATGAGCCTGAAGCGAGGGGGGATGAAGCGTAGCGGAAGGGTGAATCACCATTCGTCTGGGCCTGTATTCC